CTAAATTTTCAGATTAAGGAGATGTTTTCCTAAATTTTCAGGTTCAGGAGACGTTATCCTGAATTTTCAGATTCAGGAGACGTTATCCTGAATTTTCAGATTCAGGAGACGTTATCCTGAATTTTCAGATTCAGGAGACGTTATCCTGAATTTTCAGATTAAGGAGATGTTATTCTAAATTTTCAGATTAAGGAGATGTTTTCCTAAATTTTCAGGTTCAGGAGACGATATCCTGAATTTTCAGGTTAAAGTGCAACAACTTAAAATTGCCCAAGAGATCCAAAAAACCAGAAAGAAAGTAAAATAAAAACTAGAAATAAAGTCCAGCCTGCATCACACTCACATCACAAACCAAACATTTACCAGGTTTGAAGAAGTGAGGCTCTTCCCCCTTTTAAAATGAACACAAAGCAAACACCAGGAAGGGTTTAGGGACCTGTCTCTTATTCCTTTTTGGGATCCTTTTCCCAGCAGGCTTTGGGAACTCACTGTGGATGAAGGGTGGATGTAGACTATGCTGCCATGTCCGTCCATTGTGCAGAATGTCCTGGCTGCAGATCTGAAAGGTTTGTGAAAAAAAGGAATAAAAACAAAACCAAAAAACCAAACCAAACAACAAAACAAAACAAACATTGCTGTGTTTAGACAGCAACGCTGAAGTAAACAAATCAGCAGCAGCACAAAAAAGAATTCTCAAATGTCTGACTACAGGGAGGTGCTCACAGAATTAAAGTGTAAAAAAAAAAATGAAAAAGTGAATACAATATATCTAATTTACCACAGCAGCACTGCAGGTGTAACACCACGGTAACAGCAGGGTTTGGGAGGGAAGCCTTTGAAAGCTTAAYTGGAAATTTTCAAGCCCTTTAGGTTGAATATCTGGAACTGCTCATCAGCTACTGAGTTCCTTTCACAGAGAGGAAAATGGCATTCCTGGGGAGCTGCTGACAGCCTTGGAAGTCAAAAGCAGAGAATTTCCCAGGCTTCCAGCCCTCTGCAGAAACATCTCCTTCACCTGCAGTTACTATTTTGCCACTTTTACCCACAAACAGCCACACTTTTCAGTACTTTGCATGATCTCTTTCCCATTAAGTTCTCTAAACTTGGTTCCTTACCTCCTAGCAACGTTGATGAAATATCCTGCACAGAGGCACCTTCTCAGTATTTCAGTTCTGGAGCCTTCAAATGTTTCTTTAGGGAAGTCTGGCAGCTGTGGAAAGGAAAAAGCAACAAGAATTAGGGTCTTTCTTCAAGAAAAAGCAGTTAAACTCCCTYCACCCTATGGATTTTAAACTCTGGRTTTCTCTCTGTATAGAAAYCACAAGGAAAGGAGAAAAATTCTCCTTCTTGCCCATTGCCAGCACTGTACCTGTGAGTTACACAAGCAAGGGTGCTCTAAAAAAATATTTAAGTGGATTAGTTCCTACTGGAGGAAGGCAGCAGATGGCTCAGCATCCATTACATCCCTTAAATATAAACTTTCACAGCTCAAACATATCCAAAACCTGCATTTTTTTACCTGTTTCAGTTTGGTGGTTATTTCCCGCAGCTGTCTTTCCACACTGAAAGCAGATTTCACAGCTCTCCAGTGGATCCAATATTCCTGGCACCAGGATGAAGGAGATTTGCTGAGAACAGGAATATTTGAATTATAAAGAAGCCCTTTGTGAGCTGCTTGCAAGAAACTTGCTTCTATTTTTATTTGTTATGGTCACACAAAGGCAACAACCTACACAGGCAGAGACTTGGCTGGGTGAAATCAAAAGTGTCCTGATCACAACAGATCAATWACAGATCACAACAAGGAATAAATAATAACATATTATTTATAAATTATATTAATTTATAATATAGTTTATTTAAAAGAAAACATAATAATGTATACATATATTAATATATATATTATGATTTCTAGATTATATATAAACATGTATTTATACTTTAACTATGTATMTAGTTATGTATAGTATATTATACATAACTTATACTAATTTATATAATAAATATATTATATAAATAATAATTCAGGTATGTAAAGGGGGCATTTTCTACCTTGCTTTGCACTGTTCAAAAATATTTAAGAGGGTTGCAAAGTCATTGCATCCTCCCACTTGTGAGGCAAGTTCCTGGTGTTGAAGCTCAGCCTCCTTTTGCTTCTGAGGATCACCTGAGGAAGCAAGTTACACCTCACTTAAAATCATTTTTATTTATCGCTGCCTTAYTTTCTGTCAGTGTGTGTTTGTCAGCCTTGGCTTTTTATTCCTTTTATTTTTAGTTTTGTCTCTCCTTCTACAGCTGCGTTTACAGCAGGGGCATCACCTCTGGGTTGTGTTTTCTGTTCAGTGACTGTTTCATCAAACAGATCCTGTAGGTTACTGGGAGAAGCTGAGCTGTTAAAAACCACCAGTCCCTGTTTGTACTCACATCTACTGTGGTGAATTTTACTTTTCTGGTGTTTTTTTTTTATTTTTATTTTTGCCTTTTTCCCCTTATGACCTCTCAGCTCAGGCACAAGCTTGCAGTTGACAGCCCTGGGACAAACACAACCCAATTCCTGCTGCTCTAAACTCTCTGGAACAGCTGCTGTCCAACTCCTGACTCCAGGGGTGGTTTTTTGGGGAAAAAAATCCAATTTTTTGGGAAAAGGAGCTTCCCACCTGGCCGGATGAAGACGTTTTCYACGGACAGCATGGCTGCAATGGGAAGCAGGAGATCTTCACAGTMCAGGGAGGCAGCTTTTATGACAGCACAGGACAGGTTGGGAGGGAGGGGAAACTGCACCAGGAACTCGCCCAGCCTTGTCAYGTGGCCTCTCCTTATTCCAGGGAAAAAAAAAATAGAAATAGCAGATTGAAAAGATGGAAATAGCAGATTCAATGAAATGATGCTTAAATGTAAAATTGGGATGTGCACACCCAATGAGCAATTCCCTCTGGACTCTGAGTGCTCAGACAGGTGCTGAGGACATGGAGAAGTGTCACCAGCAGAAAAAAAAATCCACATTTCTCCAGCATGTCTGCTCCATGGCGGGCACAACCAGCTTTTTTATTTATTTACAAGAAGAATTCCTGGAAGCTCAGGATAAGATCTCCCTTCCTGTCTGGAACTCTTGGATGGACCTCCCAGCCAGAGCCTGAGCTCCTGAGCCACAGCAGTCTGGGATGTGCCCTCAGGAACTCCAGAGCTGAGGGAACTTGTCTGAGGTCACTTAGGAACTCCAGGACAATGTGGAGAACTTGATCTGTATCTCCCAAGCCCTAAACTGTGCTCTCTCCCTGTTTTTATAGACAGTGTATTAAACCCCAGTAAACTTCCTCCTGGAAGTTAAACAAGGAAACAGGTTCTGCTGCTGGGGTGGGGGGAAGCCCTTTAATCCACATAAAACACCAAAATTTAGCCATTGGATTTTAAATTCTTTGCAGTAAAGAATTTGACTTTTACCTGTCAATAGCACCGCACTGGTAAAGTTCCTTCAGAGCTTCCAAAATATGTCTTTCTTCAGGGGGGTCCAAATAAGGAAATCTATGGTAAAAAATAAATAAAGTAGCTTTGTTAGTTCTCATACTTATTAAAATAGTTTTTAAACATCCTAGTGCAGGATTTCTGACCAAAGTCAGATAAAATAATCATTTTCACCATATGGGTGTGCCTCCAGCAGAGGAATTTCTGATGACAAATCCCAGCGTGCCACACGCTAAGCTGCATTTTCTAAACTAAAAAACCCCACTGAAACAAAGCTTTTCGGGTATAAAAATCACTGTTTTGAARGACTATAAACTATGCACTGAATTTGGGAGTTTTGACAGAGCCTCCAAGCTGCAATTACAGCGGGGAAACAGCAGAAAAGCTGATTGAAGTGTCACAGTTGGCCGGGGATCTAATCCTGCCTCCCTGCCCTGGCGCCGCCATCCCAAAATCCCGGACGGGGATAATCCCCTTCCGAGTGAGGTCACCTGATGACATCGTGCACGGAAAGGCACTTCAAGGTCAGGATGACAGATGTCAGGCTGGTCCTCCTGATCTCAGGCACGGTGTGCTCAGGCATGCAGCGTTCCCAGAACTCCCTGCTGTACAATCCGTAGCTTTTCCCCGCCGASGTCCGGCCAGCCCGGCCCGCGCGCTGCTTGGCTTCGCTCCTGCCCAAAATAGAAAAAGCAGGGAAAAAAAAAAACAAAACATCCAAACCTTCCATTCCTTCTATCACCACCCAAAAAAAGCACATGCTCTCTTGGATAAATAACAGCAATTTCTCTGCTTGTAGAGAGAGGTGATTATTTGCGTGCAGCAACTGAAAAATTCGGCCACGCGAGAATTAAAGGAGAATTTCAGGCCTTGGAAGGGTTTTTTGAAGWTTCCCTCAAGAATTCAGCAAATTGTCTTTTCAAATTCATTGSAAATTCAGCACTGTCTGCTCACACCTCAGAAATGCACTGCTAATTCCTCCTTAATACCTGTAACTTTTAGGAAATTTTATGTCCTGAGCTACTTTCTACTTGGCAACAAATAAGTGGATTTAAATCATGGGTTTTAAGGTTGCTGCCCATCATTTTATTTATTTATTTTTAAATCATGAGGGTTTTAAGGTTGCTACCCACCTTTTATTTTTTTTTAAATCATGAAGATTTAAGGTTGCTGCCTACCTTTTTATTTATTTATTTTTAAATCATGCGGCTTTAAGGTTGCTGCCCACCTCTTTAATTTTTTTTTAAATCATGAGGATTTAAGGTTGCTGCCCACTTTTTAATTTTTTTATTTTTAAAAGGAGCAGCAATACACAGCATTATTGTCAAAGCAGCTCCCAGAAACAGCAAGGAAGGGACATTTTTGGCTTACTTTGAGATGGGAACCACCTCCAGGATGTCCAAACCAACTCGGGGGTTGTGATTCAGCTGCTTCACAAAGCCACTGTCTACCACATATCTGAAAAAAAAAATACAGAGAGGGAARTTATATCAATAAATCCTATAAATACATAAATTTATATTATTTATAAAGAAATAATAAAATCCAGAGGGCTCAGCAGGTAACTGCCACATGCATTTCATCAAAAAGAACACATTTCCCCAGACTGTGGTTATTCAGTGGAGCCAAGATTGGATTTCAAACTAAAGCCCAAAAATACTAGTTTATTATTATTATTATTATTATTATTATTATTATTATTATTATTATTATTATTATATCCAAGGTTTTCTTTCTACACACATCTCAAAAAAAAAGGCAACAGGAGAGGTATAGCAGCAGAATAAATGTGTTTTTTCAAATCCAGACCTTTCTGAGTCATTGCCTCTGTTACAGGTTTTATGAAGGAYAGAAATCAATACCTGACTCCTTCGATGGTCAGAGATGTTGCAGCRATGTTTGTGGAAACCACACATTTCCTGATGCCCCTGGGAGCTGGCAAAAATATCCTTTTCTGTTGATCTGAAATGACAGATATGGAGTCAAACAGCCTGTTCTGCTACAGAGCTCTGACCTCAAACCACACCTCTAACTGTGCAAATTCACCCAAATTTCAGTGGATTTTAAGTGGAGGCTCCTGTGTAAGCAGAGAAAACTGAAATTTGATTTAAGTTTACAAAAACTCAAAGCACCCCAGTATTGTAACAAAGGGTTTCATCAACGCCCTTTTCCCAACCACAACAGAAAATCTGCTGAGGACGCTGATCAGAACAAGTCCTGCAGTTGAGATTTATGGGAATGAGGTGGAATTTTTGTGCTCACCTGTGGCCATGGAGCCGTACAAGGGTAGGATGAGCAGCCCTTCCACAGCCCGGTCGTGCACCTCGTAGCGATAATCRATGGATTCTGCCTTCTTGAAGAGCAAGTCACAAGCTCTCTCGATCTCATTCTGGCCTGAAAGACACACAGGAGCATTTCAGGGACCTCCAGGAGCTCCAGCTCTGCCTTCCTGGTTTGCAGCACCTTTAAAAATGTTGTTCTGGCAATGTGCAGARCTGCCAATGTTGTTTCAATAAGGAAATAATGAGAGAGGGGGTTAGGAGGTGACATCCAACCTTTCCAGTGTCTGTCACCAAGGATTTTCCTTAAAAGCTGTCTGAGGGCCTGGCCCATGTACTTATGGAGGGTTTTATAGATAAATTAATCCTTCCTCCCTGAWTTAACAACAAACTAAACCATGCAAACACAATTTGGCTATTCCTAAAATGCTCTGGAAACTGTAATTTCACAGGGTTTTGTGAACCTGCCTGCACCTCGCCCTTCTCACTGCTCTGGGAGAAACCAGACATGCTTTGGAAGATTTTTTTKCATGATTGACCTGGAGTAACCAGGAAAACTCTCACCTGTCAGGAAAACCAGGATGTCRCCTTCTGGTTCGTTTAAGTGGACATCCAGGGTGACCTTCACAGCCTGCAACACACAACAAACAAGCCCAAACTGTTAAAATCCCATTTATTCTTCCTAGAACTCATCACATCGACCAATTGTCCCCARTTTCCTGCAGAGATGCTGAGAACACCACACATTTGGCCTCCCTCAGATGAAAATCAGCCCAAAAACTGAGAAAATAAAGCAAACCAGTCCAGACCTCGGTGACATAGGCAGAGCTGCCCACATCCCTGGGGCTCAGCAGGTTGCAGAATATCTCCTTGACAGGGTAACTCCTCCCTGGGATGTGCAGCACCGAGCAGTTCCCAAAGAATTCCGAGAGCTTTTCCACCTCCAGGGTGGCTGACATCACCACCACCTTCATGTCTGTCTTCCTGCCTTCTGGCTTTTTCTGCAGGAACAGTTTCTTCAGCAGACCAAATAAAATATCCTAGCAGGAAAACAGAAAAAAAACTGATGTTAATATCCTGGTTTTAGCTGAAGCCTGGTAAACTTGGAAGGGAMTGATTTTATCCCACTGAAATGGTGAAAATCACAATATTCCAGGTCTAGGCATATACATTTACCCTGGACATTTTGGGTTCTGGAATTTAATTTTTTACCAGCTCTTCTTTACCAGCCTACAGACAGCACCAGTGTAACTTAAACTCCTTTATTTTTCATTTTTATTCTCCCTTGGTCAAATAATTTGTGAGAATTTACCTCAGATCCATTTTTCATCCCATTTTCCTGCGTATTTTCCCCYGCCTGTCCATGCACCCTTCTTTGTTTTTATTTATTGCTCCACCCTCAGCAAGTTTATTTAACTCTGTGGTGCTCTGATTTAAAAATCTGCTCCTTCCATCACCTCAGCTCAGTAATTTACAACACTCATGGGTGCCTGAGGGCAAAATGGGATGCAGAAAGCATTTTTTCCCTTTTCCCAGCTGGACTGGGAGATGGTTTGCTGAAGCAGGAGGTTGTCTGACACACCACACAACCTCCTGAGGTCTGAGTGACTTCAATGTGCCTTTGTTGGTCACAGAAGGGTCAGGGTGACCTCTGAGAGCTTTGGGGACTCACTCTGGGTACTTCCCCGGTCCCAAAAGCCATAATCTCTTGGCACAKTCATATACACACCCTAAGAAACATTGGGCCTTGGGGCAACAGAACTGTTTCAGGGTTTTTTTTCATTTTTAAATTTTTTTTGGGGGGGAAGCATTGTTTGTTGTTTGGTTGGGTTTTTTGTAGTTGTTTGTTTTTAATTTTGTGGGGGTTATTTTTGTTTTTGGGTTTTTTGGGGGGGGAGATGTTTGTTGTTTGGGTGGGTTTTTTGTTGTTTGTTTTTCATTTTGTGGATTTTTTTTGTTGTTTTTTGTTTGTTTGTTTGTTTTTGTTTGGTTGGGTTTTTTTTTTGTTTTGTTTTGTTTTTTCAAATTAGTATTCTAGAAAGTTTATGTTCTCCTGGAAATTTTGAGACAGTATCCAACAGCCAGCAAAGCCCCAACTGCTTTCAAATGCAACAACTACAAAAAATCCCAACAACTACAGGAATTCTAACACTATTCAGAGGCCACATCTTATTTTAAACTTATGCAGTATGTAAGGAACAAAGCAGAAATTCTCTGCTCTTAGGACAGCAAAAGGATAAAGCACATCCATGGAAAGTTAGTCAAAATCCCACATGAAAGGAAGGTAAAAACAGAGCCCAGAAAAGGTGAAAATGTGACCCCAAAGATGGATAAAGGTGACACTCACRGTGCTGAGGCTCCGCTCGTGGGCTTCATCCAAAATGATGATGCTGTACTTGCTGAGCAGGGGATCAGTCAGGATTTGCCTCAGGAGGCACCCGTCTGTCATGTACCTGATGGCAGTGTCCTGCAAGGTTTAACACACATTCAGCTGCCAGCCTGCCTTTTTATTTCCAAAGGAACAGGTCACAGACTCTGCACAGACCCCACATTTGTCCAGGACATGCTCTGAGACCCCAGCACAGCTGTTGGTGCACCATGGGTGCTTAGCAATGCTTCACCTTCCTCAAATGAGTTCCAGGACACAAACAGCTCAGGGACAGACACTTCCCAAAGCTCTGAGCCAGCCTTCAGGTCCCAACAAACCCCCAGTGACCCCGCCACTGATGCTTTAGGATTTTTAGTTTTTCTATTTCCATGCGTCTGTATTTTTGTACTTCCCTAGTAAAGCACTAAAAACTACTGTTCTTTCATCTTTAGACAAAACAATCCCTCTCTGAGCCTGAATCCAAAGACACCTCACTGCCCGAGAGCCCCAAAATATGGAAACAACAGTGAATTGGGGGGGAGCAAGTTTGGGGTGGTTGACATCATCATCTGTAAAGATCATTGGAGAATTAACACCCAATATGTTAATAAGGCAGAACTTATAAAAGGTGAAGATCTCGTGACCCGGTGTCCATTTTTAGGTGTAGCCTCAGGAGGAGGTTTTGTCTGCCCTAATGTACCAGTAGGCCTGTTAAGCCTGTATTAAAGTTGTGTATTCTCATTCTCTTAAGTTTGTCTGGCCTCTTTTTCAGATTGATAAGACATCACCACCCCCCAGGACAGTCCCCAGGGCCCCACCTCGGAGGTGCAGTCGTCGAAGCGGACCTGGTAGCCCACCAGAGCCCCCAGCTCGCAGCCCATCTCCTCAGCCACCCTCTGTGCCACCGATATGGTGGCCACACGCCGTGGCTGGGTCACACCGATGGCCCCGTGCTTGGCCAGGCCTGGGGGAGACACATAAGGGACATTAAAGATCATTTMATTCCACCTTTCAYCTGTCCCACGTTGCTCCAAGCCCTGTCCAGCCTGGCCTTGGGCACTGCCAGGGATCCAGGGGCAGCCACAGCTTCTCTGTGCCAGGCCTTCTCCACCSTCACAGGGAAGAATTTCTTCCCAACAGCCCATCTAAGCCTGCTTTGTGTTAGTGGGAAAGCCATTCCTGTCACTCCAGGCCCCTTCTGGTCCTGAAAGAGGCTCTAAGGTCACACCCAGAGCCTTCTCCAGGCTGAACACCGCCAGTGATGTGGGACGAACGGGGACACTGAGCGGGACTGCTCCAGGTCACTTTTTAACACACACTACACAATGCACACACGGCCACAGATTGGGCGTTTTTTATTAAAAAAAGTTTAATCAAGCCACCTCCTYTCACCACAGCCCAGCGCGAAGCTGCGTCACCCGCGAGAGGACGGGGGGACTACTATACGAGTTTATCGGTGCTTGTTGCCCCACAAGCACCCGCGGGGGGTTGCGTTACCTGCCTCGTAGAGGTACTTGGGCAGCTGCGTGCTTTTGCCGCTGCCCGTCTCGCCGGTGACGATGAGGAAGGGCCGCTCCCTCACGGCCTCCACCAGTTCCCGGCGGGAGCGGCGGATGGGCAGGGCGGGCCCGGCCATGGCGGCTCCCGCGCCTCACCCGCGGCCCC